TATGGGTGCTAAAAGTAAAAAAAAGTTCAGGTGAATGTGTTCTCCTTTCAGAGACTAAAATTATTCAAATTTATGTCCAAATTCGTTGTACGCCTCTGATAAAAAGATCACCTTTCGTTTCTATAGCAACATTTAGTCTTGACAAAAGTTTTATTGTTACAGTTGCTAGAATTTACTAAACTAAATTAATTTTAACGATTTATCCTTCAGTAGCGTCTAAAAAGGTTGGATAAGGGTTAATTTTCCCCTTATGATTTTGATAACACACAGTACGTTTTTCAGGCTTCTTAGACTTCGCGAAGAACTGTCAATTTTGTTGTGCGTACATTTTAATAACACCCTGTATTATAAGATCAGAACATTTTGTTCGATTGTGGTTTAAATAATAATTTTAGCCTTTGTTTTGAAAAGATAAACACATTCAAAGCAAACTAATTTCTAAGTGACATTCTCTCGATAAATTGACATAAATAAACACTTGACCATCAGATTGCTATTGCCTGGTGTTGGAGGACAAGTGTTATTAAAGATGGATTATTTTAAGTTCAATATGATGAGGCATCAGAATCTAACAACAGACTGTCAGTCAGTACCGTAACATGCACACTTCAGAAAGGGGTGATTTTTAAATTTATTTTTTGAAATCGCAAACAATAACACGTGGAAACATAAACTTAAGTGAACTGGTTAACACACTAGCACGAATGCGGATGAATCGATTAGGCACTAATTTGAACAGGTACAGCTAGAAAAGTTCACTATGACAGAGAAACGATGACGGACGCCTCTGAGGGTGCGCCCATTCGAATATGCTCAATATGTTTCATTGTACTTCAGTAGCGAGGGACGTTCTGTCGAAAAAACTTTTGATCAATTTTTTTATAGGATTTTAAATGTCTTTCCTTTTGAAATCATGCTTGAAATTAAAACTATACTGAATTAAAAAACTATATCAACGCAGGCATGCTGTTTTACACAACCTGTTTCTCATATTATTTTTCGCATTTTAATTAAGATTTGCTTATCAAATTTTTATGCCAGCATTACACAATTGTCAACAATAGTCTTACGGTATTTTACTTTTCAATACTAATAATAACAATATTTGTGCAAATTCCCTCTTAGCTTATGCTGCCAAAATATACTAAATTTACGATAAGTGGGTACGAAGCACCTAAGGTATTGTAATATGTTTGTTTCGATGAACATAAAGAAGTGGCAACAACGCAAGGTGCCACAAAAGCATTGATTGTCTCAATTTATATACAGATGGGTGCCTTATTACTGTTGATTTTGATTGTGCTTCTTTTACATTATTTATCAAATCAGTATATACACCGGGCGTCACAATTACACTCATCCTACAGGGTGCCACTTAATACAAAACTTATGTATATATATATATATGAAGAGTAATGGTCCAAGGCTAGAACTCTGCGGAACATCGCAGTTCGATGTAATTAAACATTGAAGCCATTATAATAATTCTAATTAACGTGGGTGCCGATGTAAGAGCGCGTTAATTATAAAAGTGAATTCGAGAAAGCAAAGCCACTATTTAGCCAGTAGGATTATGTGTGAAACGAATTCGAAGACCCTATTTTTAATTGTCGATTTCGTCTGACTACGCATAGATAAATTGGTAACAGTGGATCTACCTTTTAAGAAGCCGTGTTGGTTTTGCAATTTTCCAACCGTCTGAGTAAGTATTTGTTTTTAAGGCCAAGTTAATTATTACGGAAAGTGGAGCAAAACAGATCGAACAAGAAAACTTGGAACTAAATCATCACCGGCTGTTAATTTATTAGGGAAATTTCCCGTTATTGTTATTAATTTGTGTTGGCTAACTGGAGAGATTGAGAAATATGAAGAGCGCTCGTAAGTAGGTAAGAATGAAGTAGACAAGTTATTAATTTGTGTATTTGCGAAAATTTTAACAAATTCATTTACATTTCCTTGTGGATCAGTAAATTTCATCATTCCATCAGTCTTGTAGCTGGGATTTTATACGTTACTTTTTTCAGGTTTATACACAAGAATTTAATTCTAAGTTAATCTCCACACGGATGAGGTAGACAAAATATGCACTAACTGATTTTTATGATAATAAAATAGATCATTTTCGGTTTTTTTTTATAAGATCAATCGGACAAAACTTTTGGAACATTTTGATCTAAAAGCCTAGCAGATATTCACAGAAATTGTCCAGTGCAATATTTATTTCACTGAAAATGGTACAGAACATTTCCTGTCAACAAAGCTACCAAAATGTATGCAGGAATTTAATGAATAAATATAGTTATATCTCTGCTTCGTTTACAATAGTAGTAACACAATAATTATTGTTACGAATATTCGCTAAATTCAAATCACGAAAAATCAAAGGGATTTATCTCAGCTAACATAGCAGGAACCTCAGCTATAACTAACAATAGGTTTAACAGCTATGCGAGCACATCTGTTTTGGTTTGGGTTGTTAGAGCACCTGTAATTTGTTTAAGAAATATGTAACAAAAACCGAATATCAAATGCAGCTCCAAGTACGAGTACAATTACTAAGCGTGGCTATGAATTGATTTAACTGTGTGACGGGCTTATGAATGAGTTCAAAAGCTACAAAAAAGTAAAATATGAAACACCACATTAAAGGTGAGAAGTTATTTTAACAGCGAAGTAAATGTAAATAGGATCATCCTCGTGTAAAATTACAGTTAAGTGTGGGTTAAAAATGAATAATTACATGTGAAATGACAGTTGGAGTTTATGATAAATGGTATTTATAGTACCTTTATTTGGTGCATAATGTTCATTCTACCAAAAGGTTTAATTATGAACGACAAACACTTTAGAGTTATACAAAATACAGGAAATAAAAATTTTTAAGTTTAAGTATTTACTTACTACGTCACAAAACCAAACCTAACATGACATCTTTAACTAACAAAAATTGTAAATATAATATAATCTTGCATTTGTATTATAAAATTTTCAGAATTGTAGGGTGACCTAGTGAAATATAGGCTCCAATTGAGAAATGGATAACTTCCTTCTACATTTCGTGCGTCGCATAATAAGAAAGTGTCTCGTTTCCGTCTATCTGTCGTCTGTGTGCCCTCTCTGTCGTCTGTGTTTTGGCGGTTTTATTAGATACTTAACTTCCGAAACTACTGGACCGATTGCTATGCAATTTTGCCTCAACTTTAAGACTATGTGAGAATGTTTATTTAAATACTAATCTAAATTTAAACAAATCCTATCCAAAATGTACAAAATAGTTTTATCAATACTTATGGTTTATCATTGCATACACACTTATTTTTGACCCTGCATGTGCAGATTTTTGGAAAATAGTTAATTCAACATTCACAATAAAGCTTTACACTTGATTTAGAAACTGCTAAACTAATTGGTTTGAATTTAATAAATCCTCACAAAAATTTTATCAACAAGTAAGTAAATTCTATTTAAAATTTGTAAATTAATAAATGTGTGTATAGGTGTACTTTATTACAACACCCCATATTTCTAAACTATTTTTAGTTAAGAAAACCTGTATGAGAAAAAACCCTGACATGCATGGGACACATAGCTGAGGGCGAGTGAAGAACGTGTACTCTTTAGAACAATTTTGTTTATAAGCATCTGGAGATAAGTATTATAATTTTTTGGAATTGTCCACACAGTGCTATTTCTAAGTGGATAGTTTCAAATGAGTTGTTTACTATTTTTGGTTACTTAAATGAAAAGAAAGAAGTGTTTAACAACAAATATACCAGATAGATGGAAAGATCTACTCTTCTTCTAAATCTTCAGTTGGTGGTTCTGTTAAGTGTATTTCATATGCTACTGTTAACATGATCTCCTATCTGTAAAGTATTTAATTTTAAGATCAGTCATTTTCAACCTAAAATCTCGTGACATGACATTCAAAAGGCACTAATGTATTGATAGTGTGACCAAATATAATTCGGCTTTTTTATTGGATGTGTTAACTAAAAAAATTCGCTGTTTATTCAATAAGTCTTATTAAAAAAGCCGTTGTCGATATTAGATAAAAATAAAAACTTATTATTAGTAGGTAATGGCATTTTAAGTGGCTTAAAAGGTCCGATATTTTTTGTTTGTCGACGTTTATTAATTCCATATTTATGAGAAACAGAACGTCAAGTTAGATTGACAAAAGACGGATTTCTGGTCTAACGATACTATTGCGTGCGGAAGTTTATCTCTTTTGGTAAGAATAATAAAAATAGTTTAAGACTATGTAAGCACTCGAATGAAGACATTTGTCGGTTTAGACTGTACAAGTTTAAAAGCGGCCGCATCACCCTTTTTACGGTTTGTTTTATAGTGGCAGAACAAACCACCTTTAATTTTTAATTCTTTCCTCTGATCGAAATCTTCTCATTCCAGTCAATTATATACATGCACGTGATTTAATTATGCAAGCACTCTATCGCTTAATTAGGATGTTTGAATGTACAGTAATAGAATATTCGGGGAATGATCTGAAAGCATCCCTTTTAAGTGTTTTGAATATTTAATAGTGTTCACGAAAGTGGTTCGGCGACGTTCATCACCAATACATCAACCTTCTTCATTACATATTATAACCCGCATTTCTTCGACGCAATTAACTATTCCTTCTGAGACAAAGAAACGCCCCAAAGAAGGCTCTCAAGTCCTCAATGTAAGCCGATACAACTCTCTAATCCTACGTGGGAGAGTGCAACGGCAGGATAAGATTGTACACCACTCCGGATCCCAGCATTTATCTGACCATGGCGGGCTAATTACCGCAATCGTCAGAATATCGACTCGCCGCTGGAAGTCCATAATCACATGGCCGTAAATCAGGCTAATTACGAGTCAGCAATGAATAATTACCGGCGAGCTTTTTTCGGCAACAGTAAACGTCTTTTTACTGGTCAATTTAGCGCCTGCGTTACCCCCAACACGAGCCGACGCTCACGTGAAACGCGATCAGTCCGACGCGGACGTCTGGGAAGCGTCGGCGGTGTCGTCTTCGAGGGCGCAATGTCGCGAGACGAGCTTTAGTACGGTTCGGGTCAGCAGCAGCGATGCCGGTCGAGGAAGAGCTGCACCTGAACGGCGTCGGGAGGACGCAGATCTACCAGCAGCCCTCCACCGGAGAGAAACACGTCCTGTTTTACCCCACAAGCCCTGCGCCTTCCGTCAATTCCGAAGAGCGAAGGAGCTGGTCTCAGGCTTCGTCTTCGGCTGTTAACACGCAGGTGAGTCAGTCTGATCACCAGCGGCGAGGAAAAACTTTCGAGGACTGAACTTTTTTGGAAATACCTTGTTGCTTTTCGGTACTGTGGAAATGTTAAGTGAGCTGCGGTCGTGTTTACTATCATAAGTAGTCGTAAGAATTTCTCTCAAGAAAATGTGCTTCTGATCTAATTTTCTCTAGATTTACCTACTGGTAATAATTACGACTAATTAGGTGACAAGAATGCTCTAGTTGTACTTAAACATAACATTTTAGAGACGTTTACGTCTTTACGGAATACTTGAGTTTGAATAATCAATTTTACACTTAGGAAAGACGTCCAAATATGTTGCGGTCACGGATCGTTTTTTATACACATGTTTTGTCTGTTGCTCTCCTTATCAAGCACTTGTCCTTTTATTAAGGAAAAATACAATTCTGTGCCTGTTTGTTACATTGTCCAAAGCACACGATTTTTTTTTGTATTTTAATGTTTGTTGAAATAATATTTACAATTTAATTAGTTGCGAACTTTCGGTTTCAGCTTACAAAAAATAAATAGAGCAAGTGAACAAGATGTTTTAAAATTCCCCTGCTTTTAAAATTAACATCAAACAATAAAAAACCTTTGCTTGAAATGGTGATCTGAATGCAGATGTTTGTTCGAATACCGAAGCTATGCATGAGGACTGAAGCGAAGTTCCAAAGTTTCCCCAGCTAATTTGCGCCTAAAACTAATTAACTAAAGTGACTTATTTTGTTTGACAAAAGAGTTAAATACCTTGCGGATCATCTACCAGGGATCAGTTTTTTAACAAATTTTTTGTGCAGCTATGAAAAGAAGGATTTTTTATTTTAGCCTGTGTTAAATTATAATTTATTTTAACGACGGTAATTTCAACCTTTTTTCATAACAACGTAGAAAAATGTATTTGCGTTTACTGCAGAAGCATGTTGAATAGTAATTACATCCCTTACGTATGGTAGTTAATAACACCCCCAATAACTTATCATTCATTTCCAACGACTTACTTATAGCTAACAAAAAAAAATAATAATACATGCACTACCTACTGACACAGAAACAAAGCTCCCAGCTTTTACCGCTACCTTGAAATTTTTTTATAAATTTTTTGCTGCAGCTTATTATTATTAATAAAGCTGTTTATTATTCAAGAAATGATGTTTTTATAAGGTTCAGCATATACCAAGAATTATGCATTTCATTATGACAAGGCATAATAAACAATGAAACTACCATAAATTCGAAAGCTGTTAAAGATGAGGAACTGTTCAAAGATGCATAGCGCACTTTAAATGTAAAACTTTTTGAACCTTCCTGTGTTATTGGTATTTTTATAACAGTTTAAAAATCGAAAAATATAAATAAATTAGATATATCACATTTGCTGACTTTAGTTAAACAATCTTTTTTGTTGTTACTGATCTGTAGATAATGATGAAAACATTTCTCTTTGAATAATTTAATCTTTGAGTCCAATGATAACTTGTTTAGCAAGAATTTATTAGACATAACATAACATACAGCGGTCAGCGAGTCTCAAGATACGAAAGTATCAAAAGGTCTCTTTCTAACATTTTAGAAGTTTGTTTCATGGAACTATCAGATCAGTGTTTGATATAGGTTTTTTTTCATGAGAGTGACCTTCAGGTAAAAATATACTGACATCTGTTATTTAGGTAAGTAGACGGAAAATTACACAAAATAAGTGCTGACAAGGTTGATCACGCGTAGATAGCATTAAATATTACGTTTGAATTACATTAATAACTTTTATTCTATTTTAGAATCATAATCGATATTCAACAATTTTATTAAAACCAAATTCTTCTACCTTTGGAATAAACGTTTTCCGCTTCTTCAGTTTGCATTTTAAAAATCGAATTTTTTAACAAACAAACAACGTGGTATCTATAACATCAAAATAATAGCCACCTACGTATTAAAGTTCGCATCGGTACAATTCACACAATCTTGCCGGAAATACTCAATATTTCGTTAAAAATATTTTAGGAACTAAAGTAGGATAAAACGTTGTATGTGCCAGGGCATAATTGTCGATTGTAGCCCTCGGGAAATTAAAAGCACTCCTTCGTCGGGCTTGAAACATTCCCTCGTGCCATAATCTCTCTAATTATACCCTTAATATATATTTATATAAATAACTATTATAAATAAAGTATTCCACTATTTATGCCCAACAGACAATTTTGAAAGTATAACTGTGAATTTTCTAGAACTAATTTTGTAAATAAAATTCTGAAAACTGATTACAATTCTTACTTTCTTAGGGTTAGCATATTTCAATATGGAACAAAATGTTTATTGTAACACTTGCTTCCTATTATGTTCACACTTTTTGAAAGTTTAATATAATATGCATTACTAGTGGGATTTTTGACCACTATAAAAAATTGATAAAAAATAAGTTAATTTCATTGAAGGTGACATTGTAGTTCAACTACTGCGCCTGTGGTTGTGGTTTTAACTAAGTTTACAAAAAGGTTGTAACAAAAAAAAATCCAAAATTATATATAAATTCTGAAAAGATTGTTAACTTACTGAAAAAAAAAACAGAGCACTCAAGAAATTACAAACCTAGTTAATTGGTAAATTAGCATCATCGCGGCAATTTTTTCACTGAATAGGTTTAAATGATACCACATTTTCGGTTTGAAACTGGAAATTCCAATAACATTTTTTTTAACAAAAATATTTTGGCGATTCATAGATTATTATCACTAGGGCTAGGCGGTTGAAATTTAAGTGTTTCATATTAACCCCTACTACTATAAAATTATCAGAAAAATAATGTTAACTGAACGTCAGGGCAACTGAAGGCGGGCAAAGCAATTAATTTATTACTTATTACTTATTACTGATATATTATAACGGCAAGCACTTTTGTTTTGCAATCCTACTTTAGATGAAGTTCAAGTTAGTTGAAATAATACATAATAAAAATAAAATAACTCAATTTACACAGTTCCAACCCGGAAAACGATCATGTATTGATTTCGACCGTGGAAATCTCCGAAATTATTAGTTGAAATAATCTTCTAGTTAGAACGATCTGAGTACGGAATTAAACAATTCTACACTTAAGTGATAAATTGAGCTGTGCTTGTTTAAAAGGCAATAGATACAATTGTATAAAGAAGCCTTTACGCGTTCAGAGCTTTAATTAATAAATTTGCAATAATGATATTTTGGCACTTAGCTTATTTGAATGGCATTATTTTCCAATTACTTGCAAAAATATATTTAGTTTTTACCAAAACATGTGGTGTTTTTTACAGAAAAAAGCTGGACCGAAAGTGCTAAATTACATGATCACGAACCTTGTGAATACTCTTGAAAAAATATAAACATGACTAATAACATTTAACTGTTGCGCATAAACGTACAAAGTAAGAAATATTAATGCTTCGTCTTGCACTGGTTGTTCTACATTTTACACCGACCCGAACCCTGAACAAAACACTAGACAGTATTAGACGATCGAAGGTTCAGTTGTGGTCGTTGTTGGTTGACAGCACGTTCGGTCTTTGCGTATCATTTTTACATGTTGTTTTACGGCTGTCTTATTATTTCTCATTTCCGTGCTCTATTTGTGAGTTACCGCAATATATGTTTCGAGAAAAAACTTTTTTCCTTCGCCGTTATTTGTTTTACGTGAACACGTTAATTTACGCTTCGTAGTAGCGCGAGAAAGAATTCTTGTTTACTTTCGGCATTTATTCAATTGGATTCACTTTTGGATTTATAGCTTAAAAGTGTTGCTAACTTTCGTAAAAACTAACTCTTTGCCGCGACTAAGTATGGTAACGATTTTAATTAGAACATCAGAAACATAAACATTGTGTAGAATTAATTCGCTGAAAGTCGCGGTATCAAACAAATCGTCTTTAGTTGCCCTTAAGCTATTTTTTTAATTGTGCCAAAAAAATAATCGTTGATTAAAATGGATATTGTAACGGTACGTGTTGTCAAACTACACTGCGTTTCAAATAAAATGCACCACCTAGAAGGAGTAGGCGTAGAATGTTGAAATTTGGTGGAGAAGACTATTGCACGTAGACAAACATTTGATTAAAATTTCAAAGAAAAAATAAAATGTCTAACACAAGAAATGTTAATAATGTGTTAAAATTCCACGTGCACGAATACAAGACTGTATTCTTCTAGGCATGCTTAAAATGAGATGATCTATTGCCTGCTGGGGTATCTCATTCCAGGCATTTTGAATTTGTTGTAGACATTCTTCCAAAGTCTTTGGAGGATGTGGTAAATTGCGCAGCCTTCTATGCATTAAATCCTAAACATTTTCGATTGTTGATAAATCTGGTGATAGGGCAGGCCAGGGTAAGAAGTTGACGTTATTTTCGTCAAACACTCTTTAAGTTAATATGGCCACATGAGGCCACGCATTATCTTGTTCAAAAGATGTTCTTCGACGGTTCGAGAGATAAGGAAAAAGAAATTGATTTAACACGTTAACGATGTAATGCCGGGCATTTAGCGTGCCTGGAATGAACACTAAGGGAGTACTTCAACAGATGTGTATACCATCCCATATCATTACTCCAGGTGTTAGAGCGATATGACATCTCTGTACAAATTCCAGATTTTACCTTTGGCCTCAAGGCCTTCGAACACGTATGCGTCCATCAGAGTGCCACAAACAAGACCTAGACTTGTTCCTAAACATTATGACATTCCACTATTACAGCCATTGCTGCCTGTCTTGGTACCAGTGAAGCCTGGTAGTTTTGTGTTCTTGTGGTAAGGGAAGTTTGCAGTTTGGACGATAAGATCTCAAGCCAAAGGAACGAATTTGGCGGTAGATGGTACTCCTCGGATTCTGTGCCCAATTGCTGTCATCCAGTCCATCCCGACTGATCGTTATGGTTACCAAGGGTACTGAATAACACTTCTTCTTAGCAAATGATCTTCGCGTCCTTGGGTGACTCTGAAACGGTCGGTACCCCTGCGACGCA